GTTCTGGGTGTTTCCTTCAAATATATTTCTCTGTATTTAAAACACACACACACACACACACACACACACACATACATTCACTGAAGGTCCCACTATGAGCATCTCCCATTTGTTCTCTGCTCCACCAATTATTGGCATATCTAAAAAAAAAAACCCTGATCTGTATAGACTGGTCCCTTCATTTGGTTCCATGGCCAGTGAGCACTCCATGGTAAAACATAAACACTTCATCTCTCAGTTACCATCCAATGATCACTGACTATTAATGGACATTTAGAGGTTTTTCCTGATTGATTGCTACTACTTTCCTATACACACAGCTCTGTTCATGTGGGTGTTGATTATACATTCTTTTAAGGGGAATTGCTGGGGCAAAGATCAGGCATTCACTGATCCAATCAGCGCCCATTATGTGCTAGGCACTAGAGAGACTGAGGATATTGAACAAAAACAGTCCTTGTCCTCACTAGCCTAGTTTGCTAGGATTTTTCATGTCGGTAGATGCTGCCACGATGCTGTCCATCACTGGTCCAGGAGAAGAAAAGCTTGTTGACTGGTATCCTCACATCATTCTTGGGGCAGGAGCTCTGATGTACTAGACACTTACAAATTTGACTTCATCAAGATCTTCAGGGTCTAGGGATAAGACTCTTCATCTGGGTTTGTTATGGGGTGAGGAGGGAGAGAGACAGGAAAGGACTGGTCCACTAGTAATGAGGTGGAGGGAGATGGGAATCCAAGTCCACTCAGTCGTATGAGAGGAAGGCTGAGCCTGGTTAGAAATGAAAATTCCTGGACCCCGCCCCTGACATACTGAATCAGAAACTCTGGGGGTAGGGCCCAGCAGTCATGTTTGAACAAGACCAACAGGTGATCTTGAAGTTTCACCTTAGCATTAGAACCACGAGAATGATCCACAGGACTTAAGTGAGAAACAGCCCCTCTGAGGTCTCACCTCCTCGGGGTGTACCGGGGATGAGGTATGAGGATGAAACTGTCCCCTGCGAGACTTAGCACCGTGGGTACAGAGATGGACCACAACCACTACAAATACTGTGTATGCAGGGGCAGGAAAGTCCACCCCACCCCAGGGTGATTAGCCCCAGCTTCTGACAGAGGTGACGATGATGCTATCTTGCACCCCAGACCGCTAGCCCAGCTGCGGGCAGACACCCATTCTAGGACATCGCCACGGGGCCACTCCAGTCCCATTTTGGCCATGCCACCTCCTACACGTCTGAATGACCTGGGAGGCGGCCAAGGGGAAGGTGGCTGGTGGTGGGATGAGGCAGACAGGTGTCCGCAGAGAGAGGGTATAGCCGCTGCCAGCAGAAGAGGGGGTTTGGGGAAAGGACGGGGCTGTTCAGAGGGACTTAAGGGGGGCAGTGCCAGAGGCAGTGAGAAGGAAAGGCCTCTCCACTCTGCAGGATACGTTGCGTGCTACGGTGCGTGCTAAGAGATGGCAGAGACGACAGGCTCCACAGGTCTCCTTTTATGGATCTAAGATCCCCCTAAGACCCCGAGGGGCAGGATGCAGAAGTCACTATGACCAGAGGTGAGCAGGGTGGGCCAGATAACAGGCATCCCCAGGATCCAGACCTGAGAGGTCACTCTCAGAACCCTTCGGTCCCAGAGAACTCCCCAGCCCTGGGGTGAACCCGACTTCCAGATGACATGGTGTGACTGCAGACAGCAAGGACGGCAAGACACCAGGCCTCTCCCCCACAGGGTGGACGGAACAGAGACTCCCTGTCACTGCCCTCACAGCAGCCCTGAGCTCAAGATCTGTGGCACTGTGTCACAGGGTGCAGCCTGTAGGCTCTGGGAGTGGGTGTGCGAGGCCTCTGAGTGGAAGGGCAGCTGTTACTAGGACTAGGAAACCTCTCAGCCAGTTGGCACTATGTTGTCAGGTGTGACATCTTTGAGCTGTTTGTGGCTGGTGTCTAGGATGAGAGATGACTGAACGATTTGTGAGTCTCTATCCCAGGGTCTGAGGTCTCTGAACTATTCGGTGTGTGTGTGGGGGGGGTGTCTTTGTCCAGAGGGCTGGGCCTCTGAGCTGTTCGCATATCTGCATCTGAGAACGTGGTTGCGAGGAAGGCAGGATGGACCTCACCCTCACAGGGCTCAGCACTAGGCCTGGGAGCTCCCATTTGCCGTGCTGTCTCCCACGCCTGCCCCGCTAGCACAGGAATGAATGTTTAGTGTCCCCATCCTTGGGGGGGGGGCCTTTCCTCAGCCCCATGCAGCTCCTAGGAGCCCGTGGTAACAATACAGATAAAAGGAATATCTGCTAACGTTACCCCCACCCCTGCTAGGGGCCAACCACTGTCACAAACCTATGTACATGTATTAACTCAGTTAACTGACAAACCCCTAAGGAGAAGGTCATCATCTGCACGTAAGGGGGCTGAGGCCCAGGGAGGAAGGGCACTCTCAGCTCTTGAGGAGGGAGGAACTGGATGTGACTTAAGCTCTTTGAAGGAGGCAGGCAGAACTCAGCACAGCAAGGCCTGGTAGGGGGTGACCAAGAAGGGGGAAGGGCGAGGGCTGCCCAGGGCCACAAGGACCCTGTAGCCGACTCACTTTCAGGAAGTCTGTCTCCCTGTCTCTCACGCACACACCCTGTTCCCCGGCTCAGTACTTGAGGTATGAAATGCGGAGGTGGTGGTGGAAGGTAGAGAGGTGAGGGAAGCACCTCGGTGCATCAATTTGCACAAAGCCTCAAGCAAACCTAGAGATTCCTGCCCTCGCTTCCCTCCTTGCAGCATTTTTGGGCACTGAGATCAGCAGGAGGGCAGTCAAGGGCATAAGGGGTTGTGAGGAACCGTGTGTACAGCATATGCCTCCCCATAACTGAAACGTGTCCTTGTCCTGAGGGGCAGAGGGTCCCGATGTAGGACAAGGCGGTGTGACTGAGGCCCAGACCACAGGCAGCTGAATTATTACGTCAGGTGCCTCTTTCGCTCTGGAGAGACAGGCACATACATCATCCAGTAGCAGAGCTACTGAGTGGCCCATGGGTGGGTACTAATTCAGTGGGGACAGTGTGTGGCCAGAGAGTCTCTCTGTCCTGGTCTCTCTAATGCTCTTCTTTCTCTGACTTCTCTGTGCCTGTAACTTTGTCTCTGTTGCCCACCCACCTGGGTGGGACCTCACTCATGCCAGAGGGCCCTTGCTTGGCCTTTCCTGAGGCTATCATCCTTTGACAGGGATGTTCAGGGGGAACCGTGGGGGGTTGCTCATGAGTCTATGGAACTGTCCAAGGAAGGTATGTTCAGCTGCAGAGGGGTAGAAGGGAAGTTCTCCCTCGGGGCAAGCAGAGAGCTGCTCCCCATACACTGGGTGGCCTGGGCCTCTGGCCTCTGAAAGAACCTGAGGGGCTTTTCTACTACAAACAACAACAAAACAAACAAAACAAAACCAACCACCACCACCAGCAAAAACCCCAACCCAAAACCTCCGGGGCTCAAACAGAGTATATCAAAGTCCTCGCCAAGGCCCTGAAGGTGCTACAGGGTCTGGCCCCTCCCACCTCATCTCCTACCTCTCTCCCTCAGCCTTGCTGAGCCAGCCACACTGGCCTCCTCACTGTACCTCATACACCCTGGATGAATTTCCACTCCCGCACTTTTCCATTGGCTCTACCTCTGTCTGGGATACTTTTCTTGCAGATATTCATGTCCTTTAGGTGTCTGCTCAAGGATCACATGCTTTGAAAGACTTTCCTTGACCTGTTTCTAGAAATTGACCTCTCTATTTCGTTTTTCTGATTTAATTTTCATCGCAGCAATTGCCAAAACCTGACAATTTCCTTACATTTTTGTGCTGTATGATCCCAATAGAATGTAAGCTCTGTGAGAGCAAGGTTTTCTTTTTTTTTTCTATGTCTGTACGATTGTATTCCTAACAGCCACAATATTGCCTGACACCTAATTTGGAGGGAATGAATGAATGAATGAGAGAATGAGTAAATAAATGCAAGGCTGTGATGAGACACATAGCTACACAGGCTAAAGGATCCTCCTAGGGAACATGTTCAGGGGTGACAGGCTGGTGACGAAGTCGGCGGTCTTTATCTCACTTTCTCAGTGTCCTTGGGGCTCCTGGGAGATGGCCCCTTCCCTAACAGAACCAAAGATCCTGCCATCCCTCTGACCTATTACTCATAGTCAACCACAGAGGCCTGCCCCACACCAGGCCTCTAACACCAGTCCGGTGCTCTAGCTTTCCTGCCCCTGCTCCCCCACCAGACCCATTCTGCATTGCCCAGGGAGATAACAAGCCAGCACAACGCCCAGCACATGAAAAACGCTTGCAACGCTCCCTGGTACAATGGTGGCCACGGGAGGGAGGTAAATTTCAGCTCAGGAAGATTTTTTTCCCCGAGTCCAAGACTGCAGCGAGCTGTCAGCTTTGCCTCCTGGCTTTGCCCTCCCTCCCTCTGGGGCCAGCCTGGAAGGCCCCTGGGCATCGGCTTCGACCAGCCATTCCAGGTTCGCACCACTAAGGGGCGCTCGAGATGGAACAGGAAGAGTCTCTGGAAGTACCTCTCAGGGGCACGGAGGTAGGACCGTCCTCGCCAGGAGGTACCATTAGGGAGGGGGCGTCCGATCTTGGAACAATCCATTGTGTAGGTGACAACACCGAAGCTCTGCATCAGCCACGGTTCCCAGCGGAGGCGCTAATAGCGCCGCCGGGTCCCTCCCCGCCCGCTGCGCTCCGTTCTCCTGGCCCATCTGAGCCCGAGCGGACACCCGGTGTGAGGCCTCAACCTTCCCTTCACTTCGCCGATTCCACCCCTCCGTCTCTACATGGTCACGTCCAGCTGAGCAACAACCGGGCGAGGGATTGGCTCTCCACTGTGGGGGGCGGGGTCAGAGACTTTCTACGCGGTGATTGGTTCCGGTGAGATGGCCGGCGTTAACCCTTCCGGGGCGCACAGTGCCTCCTAGTCCCCGCCTCCGTCCTCGCCTACCCAGTTCCTATTGGTCGTCTGGCTGGGGTGGGCGAGACGCTGGCGGAGCTGGAACTCGGGGTGAGGGGTGTGTGTGGTGTTTGTGTGTGCGTGCGTGTGCGTGTGTCCGTGTGTGTGCGCGTGTGTGGCCTTTCAGAGTGTAGAATTTTTCTCCGAGTTGAACTGCTCACCGACCGACTGCCCCGAGGGGCTGAAGATGCTGCCCTAGTCGGTGGCGAGGTTCCGCGCAACAGCTGGCTGGTAGCCCGTGTCTGGCGGCGGACGCGCGCGGTGACTGTGCCGTCTTCACGTGAGCTCTTTCAGTCTTGTTCAGCCGGGCGCGTCTGGCGCGGTGCCGTCAGTCCTCCAGATGCAATCAGTTAATGTCCAGGGCGAGGTCTGTGCGCTTGGTTGGCGTCCCTGCCTAGGAAGAAGTAGAGTGTGTCAGGCAGTTTGGGGATGTGTATCGCTACAGATAGGTCAGTACAGATGCAGTTTGGGTACATTTGATCTTTCTGAGGCTTTGGGGGGATTGTGAGTGAATGGGCTATGCTGTCTGAGTGGATTGTGTACGCCATGGGATAAGGTGTTTTAGGCTGTGTGTGTCTGTATATCTGGGGGTGCACTTTCTGAGCGTTTTGTGCATTGGTGTCCCTGGGTTTGAGAGCTCTGTGTTGGCAGCTGCACCCTAGGGTGTGAGGTCTCTGAGCTGTTTGTGATTCTGGGTTTCAAGTTGTGATGTCTCTGAGCTGCCTGGGGTGGGGGGCACTGTCTTAAGGTGTAAAGGATCTGAGCTGTTGGGGAGTCTGTGTGCGAGGTACATGTAGGTTCTCTGATTTGTCTGGGGGCTTTCTCTGAAGGTTCTGTGATGTTTCCGAGTTATTTGAGCTTAAATGTCTTTCTGTTTTTGGAGGTCTTTGTATTAGCTTGGGAGGTGTCTGCATGGTTTGGGAGTCTCTCTAGGATGTGACGTAGCTGAGCAGATTTAATTTGTGTCCTTAGAGTGAAGACGTTGGTCTGTTGGCGTGTGGGAGTTGTCTCAGTGTGTATGATCTCTGTTGCTTTGGGGAGTCTGTGACTCGGGTTGTGAGCTCATCGTGCAGAGATTTTGGGGATCTTTTTTAGGTTGTGTTCAGTGATCTGTTTTTGTTGTCTCTGGGTATCTGAGCTGTTTGGGCTCTGTGTCTCAGAAGTAAAATCTTTGACCTTTGTGGTTGTGAGGTCTCTGTCCAGGAACCGAGGGCTTTGGAACGTGGCAGATATGATTCCAAAGCCCAGAGCCCCAAATCCTGCTTGTGTCATTGGGCAAGTCACCTGTCTCCTGAAGCCTAAATGTGGATCACAATCAATAAAATGGGGCCAGTGCCTGTCTTGGAGGGTACCTATGCAACTTAGAAGTGTGTGTCAGGGTCCTGACTCCCAGCCATCGTTCCCCAAGAATTTTCTGATCACCTGCTGTGTGCCTGAGTACTTTTCTAGGAGTTGGAATACAACACAGGACAAAACTGACAAAGTCTCGCGTTTCATAGAGTTAGCCAGTGAATATATGTTGACTATCAGAGGGTGGCAAGTGCTCCATAGAAAGATAAGGCGGTTAGAGAAAAGAGTATGTGGGGAGCATGTTGTTATTTATTCAGCGTGATGAGGGAAGGACTCCCTCAGACGGTAATGACTGAGCAGAGGCCTGAGGAAGTGAAGGAGCAGGCGGTGGAACCACCTGCATTGTTAGAACATTGGAGGCAGAAGGTACAGCAGGTGCAACAGTGCTGAGGGGAAATCCACTGGGTGTGTTCCTGGATATCAAGGAGTCCTGTGATGCTGGTCAAAGCCCTCGTCGCTGGGTTTGACACATAGAGCTCATCGAAAGGTGTCTGGTGTTGCTGTCTCTGTTTCTCCCACAACCTGTGAGGGAGGTGGTCTTCATCCCCATTTTACAGACAGAGGACCCAAGGCTCCGAGAAGTGCACGGAATCTGCTCTCCTGCTTACACCTGAAATTGCTAAAAGAGGGGGAAACCTTGTGCTCCGCCACGAGAGACAGAGGGCTTGAGTGTCAGAGCTGCAGGGTGGATGCCGTCCACACTGGGTGTCAGCCAGCTAGCTGATGTAAATGATCATACGGGAATCATGACCCTCATTACCTTTCGACATTTGATGGAGGTCAGCACTGAGAAAGAACAGGGGTAGAGAAGAGAGGCAGGAAGAGGAAGCTGGAGAGCAGTGAGGGGAAAAAAAGCACTGGCTTCATGATATTGCCCAGATTTGGCCCAGTTCACCTGAATTAACTGATTGTACTGAGGTATATTCACCTCTTCCCCTCCCCTTTCTTTCCCTTCTCTTCTCTTCTGTGCTTGAGCAGTTCAGCACACTAAAGCCCTTCGGTGCTACGGAGCAAGGCAAGTGTATGTGTGGAGGGGCATCCCATACTTGAGGAGTCAGAGCCCAGGCACGGTGGGCAAGGGCATCCATACATAGGAGCAGGCTGCACTGGGGACAGAGCCCAAGGCGGTGAGGAGGATGTCCCTGGGGGTTGGATGGGGAGAAGGCCAACTGGCTCAAGGATTCTAACTCGAGTGGTGTATGGAGGTCAAGGTCAGGGAGTGGTTCAGCAGAGCATGTGAGGGTGGGCCTCTGTCGTGCAGGAGGGATGGCTTATATACAGTGGGATTCATCAACTCTGTAAATGTGTAAAAAGATACTGGGAGACATGACTCTCACTCTTGGAAAAGGGAGTTTCAAATACAGAAGGGAAGAAAACAAATTCTGAGGTGTTACATTGCGATTGGAGGTCTCCATGTGAACTCACGCTTTTCGGTATGTATGTGTGCATATAGGCATAGATCGATAGATACAGATGTTCATACGCGTGTGTGTTAGGATGGCAGAGGGAAAGGAGAAATGAGCCTGGCTCAACTTGTGGTACCAATAATAAGGGACAGGTCAAGGAAGGATTGGCTGCTGTCAGAAGGACACACAAAATTGCTTGAAGGGGCTCCCACTGGAACATACTGGGGATAACTTTGTTTTTTCAGCTTTACTGAGATACCATTGATACATAACATAAGTAAACGTAAGGTATACAAGGTGATGATGTGATTCATGTATACACTGTGAAATATTTACTATGTAAAGTTAGCTAACACTCTGTTCTTTCACATAATGACCATTTTTTGTGTGCTGATAACATGTAAGATCTACTCTCTTAACTTTCCATATCTAATACAGTATTGTGAGTGCTAGTCACCATGCTGTCTATATACATTAGATCCCCATAACTTATTCATCTTCTGGCTGGAATTTTGTACCGAAGACCAGCGTTTCCCCCCAACCTCTGGCAAACACCATTCTCGTCTCTATTTCTATGAGTTTGCTTTTTAAATTTCCACATATGTGACAACATAAGGTATTTATCTTTGTCTGTCTGACTTACCTCAGTATAAAGCCTTCAGGGTCCATCCATGTAGTTGCAAAAGGCAGGATTTTCTTCTTTTTTTGTGGCCAAATAATATTCCATCGTGTATCTATAGCACATTTTCACGATCCATTGATCCCTCCATGGACGCTGATGTTGTTTCCGTATCTTGGCTGTTGCTGCATAGTAAATCATAAAATTGGTGTTACTCCTCCAGTTTCCTTTTTCTTTTTCAAAATTATTTGACTATTCTACTTCCTTTGCCTTTCCACCTAAACTTCGTAATCAGTGTATATTTCCAAAAAAGTCCTACTGGGATTTTTGATTGGAATTGTATTAATACGATGGATCCCTTTGGGACCTGTTGACATCTAAATTATACTGACTTTATCAACCCATGAACACAGTATGTGTCTCCATTTGTTCAGGCCTTCTTATACTTCTTTGCTCCTCTTTTTGTAGTTTAGGGCATACGGATCCTGTGTATGTTTCGCTAGGTTTGAGGGGGGAAGCTATTTTAAGTGGTATGTGCCAGTGATTTCTGCTTTTTGTTTTGTTAGGTAATTGTTCATTGCTAGCATGTAGAAATTTGCTTGACTTTTTGTGTTGAGCTTGTATGCTGCAAGAGCGTTGAATGCACTTACTAGTTCTAGGAGGTTTTTGTTTAATTTCATGGGATTATCTGTGTACATAATCATGTCATCTGTGAATTGGAACAGTTTTATTTCCTCCTTCCTGATCTTTCTTTTTTCTTTCCTTTCTGGAATGGCTAGGATTTCCAGCAAATATTGAATAACAGAGGGGAGAGTGGATATCCTAGCCTCATTCCTGGTCTTAGGGAGAAAACATGTAGTCTTTCTCCATTAAGTAGGATGGGAGGTGTAGGTATTTTTGTAAGATGTTTTAAATCCAGGTTAAGAAAACTCCCTTCTGTTCCTGGTTTGTGGACTTGTTCTATCATGAATGGCTGTTGAATTTTGTCAAATGCTTTCTCTGCATGAATTGATATGGTCATGTGGTTCTTTTTTTGATACGCTAATATAATTGATTTATTAATTGACTTTTTAAAAGATTTATTTACTTATTTTTAGAGAGAGCGAGAGTGCCTGGGAGTGGGGAGGGGGGGGAGCAGGGGGAGAGGGACAAGCAGGCTCCCTGCTGAGCATGGAGCCCAAGGCAAGGCTTGACCCTAGGACCTTGAGATCATGACCTGAGCCAAAACCAACAGTGGGACACTTAACCAACTGAGCCACTCAGGCGCCCCTATTCATTGATTTTTGAATACTGCACTGCCTTTGCATGTCTAGGATAAACCCAACTGGGTCGTGTTGTATTATTATTTTTATATATTATTGAATTGGATTTGCTAGTACTGTCTTTGTCTGATTTTGGTATCAGGGTAATGGTGATCTGATAAAATGATTCAAGAAATGTTCCCTGTCTTCTATTTACTTGAAGGGGTTGTATAGAATTGCTGTTGTTTCTTCTTAAATGTGTGGTAGGATTTTCCAGAGAAACCGTCAGGGCCTGGAGATTTCTTTCCTGAAAGTTTCTAAAAGATAAAATTTTTAAAATAATATGTATGTTTTTCAGATAATCTGGGTGGTGTTTTGTTTTGTGTGTGTGTTTTTGTTTTTTTGGTTTTTTTTTGGTTGAGTTTTAATAGTCGGTGTCTTTCAAGCAATTGATTGTTTCATCTAAGTTGTCAAATGTAGGTACATAGGTATTTGTTAGAATCTTTTCGCTGTAGAGTCTGTAACCTATTTCTTTCCTCATAGTGTTAAGTTGTATCTTTCCTTATCTTTCTTTCTGTGTCAGTCTGGATAGAAATTTATGAATTTTACTGACCTTTTCAAAGAACCAGCTTTTGGTTTCAACGACTCTTCTTTTCCTGATAACTGTTCTAATGTCTGTTTCCCTTATTTACTTGCTTTGAGTTTATTTTCTTTTTCTAGTTTCTTAAGGGGGAAGCTTTCATTATTGATTTGGGTCCTTGATTCTTTCTAATGCAAACATTTGATGCTGTACATTTACTGCCCAACGCTGCTGTAGCTGCATCCTGCAAATTTGGATATGTTGTATTTTCATTTCCATTCAGTTCATCTGATAAAGGGTTAGTATCCAGAATATTTTCTAATTTCCCTTGAGACTTGCCCTTTGCGCGCCCCATGGATTATTTAGAAGCGTATGGTGTAATTTCCTTATGTTTGGAGATTTTCCTCTTCACTTTTTCTTCCATACTCGTAGTTTTTCTCTTTTGCTCAGGCAACATTCTCCGTATGATTTCAACTATTTTATAACTTGTGATATTTGGCCTTCGGCTCAGGTCATGATCCCAGGGTCCTGGGATCGAGCCCCGCATCGCGCTGTTTGCTCAGCGGGAAGCGTGCTTCTCCCTCTCCCACTCCCCCTGCTTGTGTTCCCTCTCCCGCTGTGTTTCTCTCTGTCAAATAAATAAATAAAATCTTTAAAAAAAACCCTTGTAATATTTGTTTTATGACCCAGGATGCAGGGTACCTTGGTAAAACTCCCATATGCCCTTGAAAAGAATGTATATTCTGCCGCTGCTATGGGAAGGGTTCTGTACTTGTCGCTTACATCCAGGTAGTTTACGGTGTTGTTCAGTTCATCCACATATTGCTGATTTTCTCCTGTTCCTTCTGCATATTACTGAGAGAGTGTTGAGCTCTACAGCTATCATTTGTAGATTTGTTCATTTATCCTTCCCTTCTGTCTGACTTGGTGATGCATCTCGAAGCATTGTTGTTGGGTGTTGTGCAGAGAAGAGTTAACATAGCAGGCCCGAAACCGCTATCCTTGCAGAGATCAGCATGCTGGCCCTTACCTTGCATCCGGGAACTTGAATTTCGGAAGGCTTCCCACCATTCCCTACCCGAGCAGGATGCTTTACTCTTCCTAAACTGTCCAAACAATATGTTTCATGCTAAACACCTGCTTTCCTTCTGGAAATCTGAAATCTCTGTACGTGCTAGGCAGAGAGTGCCTATGTGTCCAGCCCCCAAAACAAACCTCAGACACGCTGTTAGTCATGAGCTTCCCTGGTAGACAGCGTTTCGTGTGACTTACCATGATTTGTTGCTGGAGGTACAAATAGCATGACTCTACTGGGAAAGAACTCTTGGAAGCTTGCACTGGTTTCCTCCAGATGTTACCCAGGGGCCCTTTTCCCCTGGGTAATTTTGCTTTGTATCCTTTTGCTGTAATAAATCTTAGCCCTGAGGATGACTGTGTGCTGAGTCCTTTGGGCCCTCCTGGGGATTCACCAAAAGCAAGGGTGGTCTTGGGACGTTGGAAACAGCGGTGGTAGCCGTGGGACTCACTAGCGAGAAGACCCTGCCTCACTAAAACGTGCTGAAAGACTTCTCTGAGTAAGGGAAGGCTGATGCAGTAGAGGGGATGAACCGTTTGTGCCCAGTGACTGTGGATATACCCATGGTATGAAGCAGCAGCTCAACTGTTGTAGCCACCTTATGACTTGGGGCTTGATTTTCTCAGGGCCAGGCAAGAGGATACAGACCTTCCCAAAGGTGAGCTTTGGGTCAGCCAAAAATGTTGAAAGTTTAACACGCTCTCTCCTCCCAAGTGGGAGGAAACAGATTTAATCAGTTCCCTGAGCCAGAAAAAGCTTTCCGTAAACCAGAGGCAAAGACGGGGTGGGGGGAAAAGCACTCCAGCCTTTTCCTCACCTTGCTTACTGCCGCTGTGGCTGGCCCTCCCCCCATTCCAACCAGGAAGCCCCCTGGCCCCTGTGTGGTCACCGGGAAGTGTCCGTTTACTGCTAGCAGTTTCCATAAACTTTCAGTGAGAGGGGAAAAGGGAGGATTTCAAAATGGCTTCGAACATTGTGGCTGTTGGCGTCCGGATGCATTGAGAAAATTGATTCAAGATGTGAGGCAGGGCCGCTGTTCAATGCAGCTGCGCCCAGCAAGGGAACGACCTTTTCTAGCCTGGTCGCTGCATGAATGAGAGAGACAAAAAGGGCAGGAGGTGATGTAAACCCATTTTGAAAATGTTGAAAATTCAGGATTTCATCCTGACAGTTCCTAATGATCACGAGTCTTTGTCGTTATGCAATAGGTTTTTCTATGCAAACGCTTTTGTCCCTTTTGAGAACAGCCCCTCCATACAAAAGGTTTAGAGGAGAGGAAGGGATAAGTAAAGAAATGTGAAAGTTCGATTTCAGAATTGTACACGCTGATTTTGTAACAGTGGAGAAAACGCAAACCTGGCCCCTGGGGAGAGGCAGAGGGAGGAAGCAAAGACATTAATGACCTCTGTTTGTCCAAACGGTTCCTGGAAACTGTCCATTTTTTGTTAAGATTAAATTTATTTATTTGACAGAGAGAGCACAAGCAGGGGGAGCAGCAGAGGGAGAGGGAGATGCTCCATCCCTGGACCCTGGGATCACGCAGGACCTGAGCCAAAGGCAGACGCTTCACCCACTGAGCCACCCAGGCGCCCCCTGTCTGTTTTGTTTTGAAGAAATACTCGCAGTGCAGTCTTTCCCAGTGGCTGTGAGCACTTTGATGCAAACTGGCTGCTGAGCCTGCAGCCACGCCTGCCAGAGCTCTGACTGTGGGACAGCAGGCGTGGCCCCAGCTCTGGGGCTTTGCCTGCGCAGCACTTCCACATGACCTCCTCCCTCGGAAGGAGGTGAACTGGTGTGTGGACAGACCACACTTTTGGAACTGACTGCCTCCAGGCAGCCCTCTGAAAGCAAGGGCTCAGATGGGGAGTCCTGGAGGGGAAGGTCCCGTGGTGGGAGGCCACAGCGAGGCCCTGGTGAACTGTATCGCCTGATTCGTGTGTGTCCAGCTCTGGGCTCCCTAACAGTTGTAAACTCTGTTCCAGGAGTGTCGCGTGTGCCCTCTGCGATTACGCTTCGTGTGTGCGTGCTCTGCCTAGCCTGCCGCTGCCTCAGCCTGGAAGACTTTCAGGTCCGCTTCTGCTTCCCGACCAGAGTGTGCTGTGCCTGGATTTGTGCCTCAGGCCAGCTAAAAACAAGGTTCAGACAGACACTGAAGCAGTAAGTTATCTCTTTTACTACGTTAGACTTTTATGGTTGGTGAGAATTGTTTGAACTGGTCAAATCTGGGACCCCTGAGGGATGTAATGGGAGATGAGTACCGCAGGCTGCTGGGACCCTGCTGCAGGGGTCCTAAGACAGGCCTGTGGCACTCACGTCCCGCCCTCCGCAGCCTGACAGGCTTCAGTCTGGACATGGTTCTGTCGTGTGGTGCGTCATTATGACGCGGGGTCCAGCCATTCCCAGTTTCCTTCAGTTCCACAGGTGTGGACTGGCCTTCTGCTAAGTGTCGGGGCCTCCGGCCTGAGGACACCACGATGAACTGGCTGTGTGTCCAACCTTCCAAGAAGGAGGTAGGAGTCTGGTGAGGGAGACAGACATGGAAGCAAAGTGGCAGTGGTTAAGCTGGTTTTGTTCGGCCGCTCCTGGCAGATCACACGATGAACATCTCCCACTGAATTCTTCCCGTCCTTTCCCAGCATATCCTGCAGAAGCTGCATCTGGTCCGTACACTTGGGTTCCCCTCATCCTGTCTCCTCCATGCACAGCCACAGCTACCGAGCCATAACTGGCATGTGGTCGCAGACTCAAAGCCAAGAAGGGAATGGCTTTCGCTGATGTGTTTTCCAAAACGGTCAAGGGTTATTGGTACCTTTCCAGGTAAAACAACATGCCAGTTTCCCTCCGTTTACAGGGAAGTTACATTCATGGAGAATCCAGTGCATTGAAGTCTCTGCAAAAAAGGTTTGCATCCCTGCAACTTTCCCTTCCTAAATGCCGGGACCTCCCTTTCATCATTTCAACAATCAAAATTGCCCTCTGAACTTTTCAAAATGCGCCAGTATTTTGGTTTAAATATTAAGTAGTATTATGCAGGTACCCTCCCCGCAAAGCCTCGTATTCACAACAGAAGGATAGGAATGTTGTGGTCCTTGCCTGCATTTGGTCAGAGGAAATAGTGTGGCAGCGTGGAGTAGGGCA